ATTGTATGTTTAGATGAGAATGATGATAAGAACTTAGCATGTGCAACTTGTAAAGAGCATGAATATGACATAGATATTCTTAACCATTTGCTAGACAAAGCTGAAAAGGAGATAGGTGATCTTAAGAAGCATGAAATTGTGTTAGCTCAAAATAGTGTAAATCATCAAGTTCCTTTGAAAAAGCCTAAAAGGAAAAACAAAAGAGTATGGGTAGAAAAAGGAACTAGAGCATGTTTTGTTAGTAATGCATCTTATTCTAAAGCTACATCAAAAGCATGTTTTTATTGTATGAAACAATGTCACACTTCAAATAAATGTAAAATAAAACATTTTGGTGTTCCTAAAGGTAAATACATTTGGGTTCCTATTGTTAAATAATTTGTTTGTCTCTAACCCCAAGGACCCAAAAGTTATGGGGACCTAAGTTTACTATGTTCTTGTTTTGTAGGAAACTTCCAAATCTAAGAAGTTTATGTGGTATCTTGATAGTGGATGCTCAAAGCATATGACCGGTGATAAATCAAAATTTGTGAGTTTCAAAGCTAAAGAACAAGGATATGTAACTTATGGAGACAACAACAAAGGGAAAATTCTTGGAATTGGAAATATAGGTGGTGCAAACACCTTGGAGATTAAGGATGTGCTTCTTGTTGATGGACTAAAGCATAATCTCCTTAGCATAAGTCAACTATGTGACAAAGGATTTAAGGTAATCTTTGAAAGTAAATTTTGCACCATACATTTGATAGATTCCAAAAATGTAGAATTAAAAGGCATTAGGCATAATAATATATACTTGATTGATTTGGATTGTTTACATGATTCTAGTATAACATGTTTAGTTGCTAAGGAAGAGAACCCTTGGTTATGGCATAAGAGAGCGGCTCATATAAATATGCATCATTTGAACAAATTGATTTCAAAAGACTTAGTTATTGGTTTCCCTAAGTTAAAATTTGAAAAAGATAGATTGTGTGATGCATGTAAAAAAGGTAAACAAGTAAAATCATCATTTAAATCAAAGAATGTTATTTCCACTTCAAAACCCCTAGAATTATTACATTTAGATTTATTTGGACCTTCTAGGATAAAAATCTTTGGTGGAAATTATTATGGCCTTGTGATTGTTGATGATTACTCTAGATATACTTGGACATTTTTCCTAACTATGAAAAGTGAAGCCTTTAAGGTCTTTAGAAAATTTGCAAAACAAATTCAAAATGAGAAAGACTTAAGAATTAAAGTTTTAAGAAGTGACCATGGTGGTGAGTTTCAAAATGAAAAGTTTGAAAGTTATTGTGAAGAAAATGGAATATTACATAACTTTTCTGCTCCTAGGACTCCCCAACAAAATGGTGTAGTTGAAAGGAAAAATAGATCATTAGAGGAACTTGCTAGAACAATGTTAAATGAATCTAATGTTCCTAAATATTTTTGGGCTGATGCGATTAGTACTACTTGTTATGTTTTGAATAGAATGCTCATTAGGTCAATTATAAAATCAACTCCCTATGAATTGTTAAATGGTAGAAAGCCTAATGTTCCTCATTTGAAAATTTTTGGATGTAAGTGATTTCTATTAAATAATGGAAAGGACAACTTACGAAAATTTGACTCAAAAGCCGATGAGGGCATTTTCTTAGGTTATTCATTAACTAGCAAAGCTTACAGGGTGTTTAATAGAAGAACCTTAAATATTGAAGAATTTATTCATGTTACTTTTGATGAAATTGTAGACCTTGGGGGAAATCCTCTTGAGTCAAATAAAGAACTTGCAGGTGATGATGAGTATATAAGAGAGGCTCTTGATGAATTATATTTGGAAGAAAATAAGCCTTCTCAACCACCTGAATTAGCAAAAGAATGGCAATCACCAAGAGGACTCTCAATGGACAATATCATTGGTGATATCTCAAAAGGGGTAAGAACTAGAAATATGACTAATTTTTGCATGTCTGTAGCTTTTGTGTCACAGATAGAACCCAAAAATGTTGAGGAAGCGCATAAAGATGACCAATGGTGCATAGCAACGAAAGAAGAAGTTAACCAATTTGAAAGAAATCAAGTCTGGGAATTAATCCCAAGGGAAGAATCACATCAAGTTATTGGAACCAAATGGGTGTTTAGAAATAAACTTGATGAAGATGGAAACATAACAAACAATAAAGCCAGACTTGTTGCCAAAGGCTATTGTCAGGAGGAAGGTATAGATTATGATGAAACTTATGCTCCTGTTGCCAGGTTAGAGGCTATACGCCTACTTCTTGCTTATGCATCTTTGATGAAATTTAAATTATAGCAAATGGATGTTAAGAGTGCATTTTTGAATGGTTTTATTAAAGAAGAAGTTTATGTGGAGCAACCCCCTGGATTTGAAGATTTTAGTTATCCTAATCATATTTTAAAATTAAAGAAAGCATTATATGGGTTGAAACAAGCTCCTAGATCTTGGTATGAAAGGCTAAGTAGTTTCTTAACTTCAAATAATTTTTCTAGAGGAAAAATTGATTCTACTCTGTTTATAAAGAAAGTTAAAGAACATATCTTATTGGTCCTGGTATATGTTGATGATATTATTTTTGGATCAATTGATAATTCGTTATGTGTAGAATTTGCTAAGATAATGTAGGGAGAGTTTGAAATGTCTATGATGGGAGAATTGACATTCTTCCTTGGACTTCAAATCAAGCAACTTAAAGATGGCATTTTCATCTCTCAAACCAAATACTGCAAAGAAATCCTTAAAAAGTTTGGAATGGACACCTCAAAGGAAGCTAACACACCCATGGGAACTTCATGCTATTTAGACAAGGATGGATCAGGTTTGGAAGTTAATCAATCTAAGTATAGTGGTATGATAGGTTCACTGTTATACTTAACTGCAAGTAGACCTGATATTATGCATTCTGTCTGTGTGTGTGCTAGATTTCAGGCTTGTCCAAAAGAATCTCACATAATTGCAGTAAAACATATTTTAAAATATTTAAAAGGAACTACTGGTTTTGGTTTATGGTATCCATCTGATGCTTGTACTAGTTTAATAGGATATTCTGATGCTGATTATGGTGGATGCAAAATTGATAGGAAAAGTACTAGTGGGACATGTCATTTGTTAGGTTCATCCTTAGTATCTTGGCATTCTAAGAAACAAGCATGTGTTGCTTTATCTACCACTGAAGCTGAATATATTGCAGCTGGTAATTGTTGTGCTCAAATTCTGTGGACAAAACAACAGTTACAAGATTATAGTATATTTTTAAATGACATACCTTTGATGTGTGATAATACGAGTGCAATCAATCTTACTAAGAATCCAGTAATGCACTCTAGGACTAAGCACATAGAAATTAGACATCACTTTTTGAGAGATCATATCAGCAAAGGAAACTGTAAAATAGAGTACGTTGATACAAAGCATCAATTAGCAGATATTTTTACTAAGCCTCTACCCAAGGATAGATTCTATGATCTTAGAAGAGACTTAGGGATATTAGAAATAGCTTAAATTCTGCTTAATTAGACAGTTTTTGGATGGTTGTAATGTTATAATTCATTATGTAGGATGTTCATAGGTTATCATGTGTATAAACCTCAAATATTTGATGAACTCTCTGGAATAATCGATTAATTGGAGTTATAATCGATTATTTGCATCCAAAACACCCAAAACATGACATTCCTCTCTGGATTAATCGATTAATTCGCCCATTAATCGATTAAAATCAGTATTAATCGATTAACAGCTCAAATTAATCGATTAAATGAGTATGGTACTGGTTTAATCGATTAATTTGATTTTTAATCGATTAAACCTTGCAAGTTTGGATTCCTAGCCATTGCCAACGGCTCTTTTGACCCTTATTCACTTTCATATGACCGTTGGAGATGCTTGGCTATAAATAGGGACCTCCATTTCACTTCTACTCACCTCTATCTCTTGAAATCAAGCTTTCTTGCCTCATTCTATCAATCTTGCCTTCTTCTCACTTAACTTGTCCTCTTAAATCTTATTGTTACTCTTCTAATCCTTCAATGGCCTCATCTTCTCGTGCAAAAATCCCCACTAGAAGAAGATCTGCACCCTCATCTCATCCCCATCCTAATTCTGTAGAAGGATGGATCTCTGATGCAGAAGGCTGACAAGAATTTCTGTCCTATTGGAAGGAACGTGGTATTATTTCTCCTAAGTTCCTTATTAGTGAGCAGTTCATCAATAGGGGATTCAACTTTCCTAATCTCCTTGAAATTCAAGGATTTCTCCCTTTCATCCAAATGCAAGGTACGTATTATCCTGACTTAGTTAGGGTATTTTACTCTAGGTTTAAATTTAGAGATCAAATTGCTACCTCTCGTGTAAAGGGGGTAACAATTATTCTTGATGATGATATTTGGGAGAATGTTGCCCATTTTCCTATAAGAGAAGATGCTATTAACATGTATGGTGAGTTAGATGATTTTGACAAGATCATGGCTTACCGTGCTTTTCTGTAAAACCCCTCCATGGAGATTGGGCGTCTCCTTCTTGCTGGACCTTTGAAGAAGGAGGAACGCATGATTTTACATTTACTTGTATGGATCCTATGTCCCCGGGCTACGAATCATGCTCAATGTTCTTCAATTGATCTTCGTATTATTCATGCCATAATGAATAATGAGCCTTTAGATTGGGGCGTTCTTGTCACCATGACTATGTTAAAAGCCAAACGCCATCCCACCTTCAAAATTCCATATGCCCTCCTTGTCTCTCGCATTCTTGAATACAAAGGAGTAAATGTCGAAGGTGAACAAATAGTACGAACGAATAACTTAAATCGCATGCTGGACAGCACATTAATCCAACTCCAAATGGTGCGTGTCAACGATATTTATGTTCACAAGGATGACGTTCCAAACGAAGGTGATGCTCCATAGATCCTATATCTATCTATATGAAAAATAAATCATGTGACGGGGGGGGGGATTCTTATTTGTACAAATGGTACTTCAAACTTGGAACGAGTATGAAGAAATTAACGATACTTCTTTACCTTTTGAGTTGTTCTGCCGGATCGGTCGCTCAAGACCTTTGGTCTCTACCCGGACCTGATGAAAAAAATGGGATCACATCTTATGGACTCGTTGAGAATAATTCTGATCTAGTTCATGGCCTATTAGAAGTAGAAGGCGCTCTGGTGGGATCCTCACGTACAGAAAAAGATTGCTGAGTTTCCCTCTAATCAAGTCCAAAGTGTTGGAACTTCCTCTGCTCATCGTGAAACCCGACAATCTATGGATGACATGTTATCTGATATGAATCAAAGGATGCAGGCATTCTTCACTCTTTCTGGAGTACGACATGAGGAAATAATTCATCGAATATCTGATGTAGATGATAAAGTGTGCCATTTAGAAAATAGATTTGATGTACACTTTCATAGTGATGATAGTGAAGAATTTTAAATTTGCTTTTTATTTGTAATGTATTTTCATTTCTGAAATAAAATGTGGTCTTTTAATGCTTTGATTGAGGGGGAGTTATCTCCAAGTTATGCATATTTTGAGGAGGAGCCCTTATGATTGTTATTGAAGAATTCTTTCAATTTTTGATATAATCACAATAGGGGGAGAAATATTTAAAGCCTAATATGATTGTTTTTAAATATTATCTGGTATGTTTAATGTGTTTGTTAGTATGATAGATAAAACAGGTTATTACAAGGCTTTAAAAGAAAATTTTGATCATCATAAAAAAGGGGGAGATTGTTGAACATTCAAGGACTTGATGTTCAACTTACATGGACATGAAGCTTGTTGATTTTGATGATGATTCAAGAGCAAAGAACTTAGAGAGTTGAAGACTTATTTTATTATGTAATAACTCTGTTTTGATTAGATTGAGTCTGTAATATTAGAGTTTGAGATAGCCGGTACATAGTCTGCACCTTAGAAGCTTCAAAAACTCAATTTTATCAAAGTGCCTCGGCTTTAATCGATTAAATAGTGAAATAATCGATTAAAACAGTGAGAAAAACCATTTTCTATATCTGCTCACTGGTTTAATCGATTAACACACCTGTTAATCGATTAACAGGCCTGTTAATCGATTAACAGGTCTTTTAATCGATTAAAACAGAGAGTTTTGGGGTTCTGTTGATTTTGGCTCTGTAATAATCGATTAACACTTAATTTAATCGATTATTTCAGTCAGATTTTGATTTTCAACTTCAAATCAACCCTATTTTCGAAATCCCTAATCCCAAGACTCCTAGTTCCGAAAATCCCAATTCCCAAACCCTAATTTCTCTACTTAAGCTTCTCTATGGCACTCAGAAAAGAAGAACAACCTTTTAACAAAAGTTAAGTGCTGTGAGTGCCAAAGAACTATTTGTTGGAGGAAAAAGGGGCTTATGGAACCTGGTGTGGGCTAGAAGCGATAAGAATCACTAAGTGGAGTTCTTAGTGGACTGTGTGTTGTGCCGTCTCTGGGGAAAGCTGTTCTTATCTCTTGTGGGTTTCAAGAGAGGTGTTTTCTTTACTTTATCTTTTCCATTGTAATATGTTTGTAATAACTGTGATTATAGTGACAGTGTTAATCCTCTGTTTGAGTGATTAGCAACTGGACGTAGGGTCTTTTGATCCGAACCAGTATAAATCTCCTGTGTAAGACTCTATCTCTATCTTATTTACGTTTATACAGCTTTTTAATCGGTAAAATTTGGGGAAAATTTTTAAAACCTAATTTTTGTTAAGAAACCAATTCACCCCCCTTCTTGGTTTTTGTCCGACCACGCAAACATTCCGCTGCGCGATTCTAACACTTCTTTTTTCCAACAGTCTTTGCATGTCCGGGGAAATAGTCCCCTCCTCACTGTCTAACTCAATCCATTCGCCTTTGGCTTTCAGATCCCAGAGAGAGTTTTCAATCACAGACATGACTGTTTGTCCGGTCCTTATTTGGGCTTAGATTTTATTTATTTATTTTGGAATGAAAGAGAAAAGAATGAAAAGAATATGAATATTATGAAAAATGCCTCGTTGTATTGATGAAAAGAGAAATATATACAGAGCCCCTTTAATCAAAAGATCTCGCGGCCATGGGTAGAGACCACAAGAGATGCATCAGAAGCTTTTTATTATTATTTTTTATTTCTTTTAACCAAAAGTTGCACAAAATGGGGAGCCCTAGTTAGCTCCCCTTCTCTACCCAGGCTCACTATTCTGGTTGTGATAGAGGTTTGATATTCACGTCGGGAGCATTGAAGGTGATCCATCCAGCATTCAAAAAATCTTGGACCTTATACTTCAAGGCCATGCAAATCTCCATAGAATGCCCAGGAGCGCCTGAATGGTAATCACAGTTCTCATTAGGTTTGTACCATTCTAGGTAGGGTGGATCCATCTTCTTTGGAGGGACATATGCTAGGAGATGGTCCTTTATCAATTCTAGCAACAGACTTCCATAGGAGGTTGGAATAGGAGTGAATTTCTTCTCTTGTCTGCGTGATTGCCTAGATGGTTGTGAAGAGGAAGAAGGGGTAGTGAGGTTTATGACATTTACACTCCCCTCTTTCTTCTTGCCAAAGGACTTCTTGAATGATGCGTGGGATTTCTTAAACTTGGGAGGGAATCGAGTATTTTCGACAAGGCATACATCGGTTACCTCCTTTACATCAAAGTTGTATCCCTCTAATGCCCTTAATTTCTGTTCTAGGGCAAAAATTCGTTGCTCAAAGACCCTATTGTGGAAGCATTGCTGATACATTAGCTTCGTCATCTGCGCTATTTGTTCCTTTATGGCATTAAGCTCAACGGTGCATACGGTTCTGTTCCTCTAATTGCTCCATCTTCTTGACTTTTTTAGCGCGAGTGAAAACAGGTAGAAGACCAGCCACTTTCTAAATGATTTAAAGATTTTTATTATTGTTTTTTTTATTATGAATGATCAGCGTGGGATAGATGTGCCATAGACCATAGCTTTGGTGTTTTCCTAAAAGCTTATGCTTTAGGGAGTACCATACCCACCTTGGTGTGATGGTTCTGAAAGTAATGAAGATCTTATTGAATTACTTTGGCAAAGATCTTGTTGATTTGATGAAGTCAAGAATGGAGTCAAAGGCTACTTTGTGGCAGTCAAAGGTCACTTGGATAAAAGAAGTAGAAGGATTAGTGTGTCTGTAGCTCCGCTTAGGTATAATCAGTTTTATCTTTCTGCTGCATGAGGTTTCTTCATTTAAAAGATTTTGCAAATGCCTCAAAAAATGTTTTAACGGTTAAAAACAATGCATTTTGACAAAAGCTTTCTTAATTAACTAATTTAACTAATAGAATATAAGCTTTATCAACTAAAACGTTCTTCACACTTTTATAACAGGGTTTTAACTAATATAACTTTGAAATAACCGATTGTTTTCATTAAAGGAAGTTTTGAAAACCTTCGATCAGTATTTTAAGCTGATACGAGTTTGAAATAACCGATTAAAATCACTTAAAATGTTCAGAGAAGTGTTCTGGCAGTATTTTAATCGATACAACTTCGAAATAATTGATTAAAACCACTTAGTGTACTGTTTGACCGATCAGAATGGGTTTATGACCGATCAGAACCAGATATGATCGATCAGAATTGAGTTATGACCGATCAGAACCAGATATGATCGATCAGAATTGGGTTATGACCGATCAGAATTATTTTAATCGATTAAACTACGTTTCAATCGATTAAATCAACTTAAGAAAATTTGTACTAAGCGTTTTAATCGATTAAAACGATTTTTTATCAGTTAAAATCATTTGAAAAAAGTTTATAAGAATATCTTGCAGTATTTCAATTGATTGAAACACGAAACAATCGATTAAAACAAATTAGAAGATTTTTTACAAAGAGTTTTAATTGATATAAACGTTGTTGTATCAGTTAAAACAAATCTGGAAAATAATCAAGAACGTTTTAATGGATTAAAAGAAGTTTTAACCGATTAAAACAAGACTTTTAACAGATTAAAAGATTATTTTAATAGATTAATTAAACCAGCAGTTTTGAAAATCTTCTATAAAAACAGATTGGATTGAACTTTTTAACATACATCTGATATACATCTTTTAGCAATCAATCAAGAAATCAAAAGTGATACTTTCAAGAAAGAATTACGCTAGTTTTTGTGAAGTTCATTAAAGTTCTTTCTTGAGGCAAAATTGCATTCTTTTAGAGAAGAAACAACATATTGCAGAACTGCATAAAACTGGTTTGAGAGTTCTAAGTTTCTTCACTTTCTTTTACTATATTGTGGGTGCCTAGAATTGTGGGCACTGGTTTCTGTAGCTGGAATTTGGCTGCAGGGTAGGTCAAGAACTAGAATTTGGTTCTTGGTGAAAGGTTAGGTGCAGGAACTGGAATTGTGGTTCTTGTGGTAGATTGAGTGTGAGGTTAAGGTTGTAATCTGTAAAACATTCAATCTAGTGGAACCCAGCTGGAGACTGGACGTAGCCCTGGGATTGGGTGAACCAGTATAAACCTTGGTGATATCTTTCTAAACCTTTCCCTTCTTTAATTCTATGACTGCATTTATTTTTGATTGCTTACTGTGTGATTCAAGAACTGGTCTGAAATCTTAATCTGAAAAATAGATAATCTGTAAATTTGCGAAAATCTTTCAAAGATCAATTCACCCCCCCCTCTTGATCTCAGCCTCTTTTTCTAACAGGTTCCTTTTTTCAAAAGGTTACCATCATACCTTAGCGTACTTATCTCTTATAGGAAGGTTATAAACGCACTTGGGTCTCTTTCGCTATTATCTAAGAATATCTAATGCATCCTAGAATGAATGTGTTTATGCATGCACTACAAAAATACTTTTTATGACGACAGATATTGAAAGTGGGATAACTTTTGACTGTGATGTCGGATATTGACGCACAATATATCAAAACGAAGAAAAAAAGGTGAAGAACTAGGTTGCAAATACCCAAAGGGGATTTGGCCTAGTAATTTTCCCAAAATACGCTCCTAAGACCCATTTTTTGAGATATTTATTAAAATGATGTGTATGCATGCTTTTCTCTCTTGATTTTTTCTTATGAAATGATGTTTTATGAATGATACGACTTTGCCAAGAATCTTTTTGTTATAAGAGGTATTTTTATTGGTTTAAATTGTTTTTTATATTTTTTATAACCCTTTATCTCTTCTGTTGGT